CAGAGGGCGAAGAGCATGCTGCTCATCCGGCACGCGATGCAGCTTAACTCCGTTGATCTGGCCATGCAGAAGATGAAGGCTCGCGTCGCCCCCCCTGCGATGGAGCGTGCCGGGCGATTATGCGTCCACGGCGACGGCTCGTTCAAGCGCGAGGGGGGCGCCGGTTACGGCATGAGAGGAGCCGTATTCATGCGTCTATGCAAGTGAGCCGATCGTGCAAATTTGTGCGTCGATCGCCCTTTGGCTCAGAGCTGCTTGCAACGCGCGGCGCAGCTGACGGCCTACGGGCGCGCCTCCTAGCGCTCCGCCAGATGGCGCGCGGACCCGTGTCATCCGAGGAGAGCAGGAGGCTTAGGGATGAAGGAGGTCGCGCCCGGCCGGCCGACCTGGTCTTGGACGGCATGTCCGTCTTTCCCGCCCGGCCATGAATCCTGTTCGACCGCCCTGACAGCATGGCTGGCCACCTGCGGTGGCTGTCAGACCAGCTCCACACCAAGCAGATCGACGATATGTTTTGGTGCGATCACCTTATTCGGGACAGGGGCCGACTCCATGACGAAGGGTAGCATCGGCCGGGAGCTCATTTTCGATATCACGGACGGGAGGGGAACTCAGCTATGACCACAAACCACAACACAGTCAGGTTGAGTGAGGAACGGATAAAGACAGCGCGGAGCTCCCGTCGCAGCAGACTCACCAAGACGAAAGGTGACCAGTGCGGCTAAGTGGATTACTCGCCCTACATCGCGTTCACCAATAGCCTGGATGTGTGCTGGCGATGTCAGCGCCAATCACGGCCCCCACCCATGGCAAGGGAAAGCCATCAATAACAAAACGTGCAAGTGAGATGCTGTCTGCACTGACTCTGTGGGTCTGGCAGCGGATGACGGGAACTAGAGCACGCTAGTACATGCAGCCTGCTCCACCCAGTGACGTGCTGCCTGGCATCCTCGCAATTTTTTAGGAGAGACATATGATCAGTAGAATGCCCTCTCAGCCTAGCTCACTTCTGCTTCGTTGGTTTGTGTGCGATTTGCGTGCTCAGGTCGACGAGACACACGCAGACTCGATTGAACACTGGACTAGAACTGTATTATTCGAACTGCTTCCCCCTCCTAATCGTCTCCCTTTTCCGCTGCTTCGTGGAGCGTTCCCGCGCCCTTTTTTTTTGTTCGTTTGACACAGCTCGTTTCCGGCATTGTTACAAGTGCCGTCGACATCATTTGTTATTTTAACCTCTCCATCCCGAGGGGGTGGAAGATGGAACGGGGGAGAGGGCCACAGAGAGAGGGAGAGAGAGAAAGAGAGAGAAATACAAAACGACAGAAAGTGAGGGAGAGGAAGAGAGAGAGAGAGAGAGAGAGAGAGATATAGACAGGGAGAGAAAGAGAGAGAGAGAGAGAGAGAGAAAGGGACACAGCGACAGCAACAGAGACAGAGACAACGTGTGTCAGAGAGAGAGAGAGAAACAAACAAAAGCAAGAAAGAAAAACACTGAGCCGGACGAATGACCCAACCATATGCAGTTGCGAGTGCCGCATTGTAGGTACCGCTGTCGGTGGAGCTCCCCAGGGGGCACGAAATTTGTGAGGGGTACGCCGAAATCGGTGGCGCGGACGCATGTGGACACCGCCAGTGGGGCCTTCGGTGGAGCTCCCTGTGGGGCCACGAAGCGTTGTCCTGGGTGGGGGAGACGCATGCGAACTGCGCCAGTGGAGCCTTCGTTGGAGCTCCTTATGAGGCCACGGAGCGCTGTCATGGGTGGGGGAGACGCATGCGGACGGTGCCATTTGGGTTTTCGGTGGAGATCCCTGTGGAGCCACGGAACGCTGTCCTGGGTGGGGTGGGCGCATGCGAACGGCGCCAGTGGGACCTTCGATGAAACTCCCCATGGGGCCACGAAACGTTGTCGTGGGTGGGGGAGGCGAATGCGAACGGCGAGACTGGGTTTTGTTTTGCGGGGTTCCTTGTGGGGGCACGAAACGCTACCATAGGTGGGGGAAACGCATGCGAACGGTGCCACTGGGGCTTTCGGTTGAGCTCCCTATGGGGCATCGAAGCGCTGTCCTGGGTGGGCGAAACGCATGCGAACGGTGCCACTGAGGCCTTCGGTGGAGCTTTCTATGGGGCCACGAAGCGTTGTCCTGAGCGGGGGCGCCGCATGCGAACGGTGCCACTGGGGCCTTTAGTGGAGCTCCCTGTGGGGCCACGAAGCGCTGTCATGGGTGGCGGTGACGCAGGCGGGCCCTGCCACTGGGGCGTTCGGTGGAGTTCCCTGTGGGGCAACGAACCGTGTGAGGGGTGTGTCGACATGGGTGGCGTTGACGCATGCGGACCTTGCCACTGGAGCCTTCGGTGGAGCTCCCTATGGGGCCACGAAGCGCTGTCCTGGGTGGCGTTGACGCATGCGGACCCTGCCATTGGAGCCTTCGGTGGAGCTCCTTATGGGACCATGAAACGCTGTCCTGGGCATGCGGGCCTTGCCAGTGGAGCCTTCGGTGGAGTTCCCTATGGGGCCACGAAGCGCTGTCCTGGGGTGCGTTGACGCATGCGGACCCTGCCACTGGAGCCTGCGGTGGAGCTCCTTATGGGGCCACGAATCGCTGCCCTGGGTGGCGTTGACGCATGCGGGCCCTGTCATTGGAGCCTTCGGTCGGTGGAGCTCCTTATGGGGCCCCGAAGCGCTGTCTTGGGTGGCGTTGGCGCATGAAGAAGACCCTGCCACTGGAGCCTTCGGTGGAGCTCCCTATGGGGCCACGAAGCGCTGCCCTGGGTGGCGTTGACGCATGCGGGCCCTGCCGCTGGAGCGTTTGGTCGGTGGAGCTCCCTATGGGGCCACGAAGCGCTGTCTTGGGTGGCGTTCGCGCATGCGGACCCTGCCACTGGAGCCTGCGGTGGAGCTCCCTATGGGGCCATGAAACGCTGCCCTGGGTGGCGTTGACGCATGCGGACCCTGCCACTGGAGCCTTCGGTGGAGCTCCCTATGGGGCCACGAAGCGCGGTCTTGGGTGGCGTTGACGCATGCGAAAGGTGCCATTTGGGTTTTCGGTGGAGCTCCTCCCTACGGGGCCATGAAACGCTGCCCTGGGTGGCGTTGACGCATGCGGACCCTGCCAGTGGAGCCTTCGGTGGAGCTCCCTATGGGGCCACGAAGTGCGGTCCTGGGTGGCGTCGACGCATGCGGGCCCTGCCACTGGAGCCTGCGGTGGAGCTCCCCATGGGGCCACGAAGCGCTGTACTGGGTGGGGGAAACGCATGGACCCTGCCACTGGAGCCTTCGGTGGAGCTCCCTATTGGGCCACGAAGCGCGGTCCTGGGTGGCGTTGACGCATGCGGACCCGGCCACTGGAGCCTTCGGTCGAGCTCCCTATGGGGCCACGAAGCGCTGTCTTGGGTGGCGTTGACGCATGCGGACGGTGCCATTTGGGTTTTCGGTGGAGCTCCCTATGGGGCCATGAAACGCTGCCCTGGGTGGCGTTGACGCATGCGGACCCTGCCATTGGAGCCTTCGGTGCTCCCTATGGGGCCACGAAGTGCGGTCCTGGGTGGCGTTGACGCATGCGGACCCTGCCATTGGAGCCTTCGGTGGAGCTCCCCATGGAGCCACGAAGCGCTGTACTGGGTGGGGGAAACGCATGGACCCTGCCACTGGAGCCTTCGGTGGAGCTCCCTATTGGGCCACGAAGCGCGGTCCTGGGTGGCGTTGACGCATGCGGACCCGGCCACTGGAGCCTTCGGTGGAGCTCCCTATGGGGCCACGAAGCGCTGTCATGGGTGGCGGTGACGCAGGCGGGCCCTGCCACTGGGGCGTTCGGTGGAGCTCCCTGTGGGGCAACGAAGCGCTGTCATGGGTGGCGGTGACGCATGCGGACCCTGCCACTGGAGCCTTCGGTGGAGCTCCCTATGGGGCCACGCAATGTTGTCCTGGGTGGCGTTGCATGCGGACCCTGACACTGGAGCCTTCGGTGGAGCTCCCTATGGGGCCACGAAACGTTGTCCTGGGTGGCGTTGACGCATGCGGGCCCTGCCAGTGGAGCCTTCGGTCGAGCTCCCTATGGGGCCACGAAGCGTTGTCCTGGGTGGGTGAAACGCAGGGAGGTGACGAGGCGGATGGGAGGACGGAGAGGGAGGAGGAGGGGGAGGAGGAGGAGAGGAGAGGAGTGACGCGGGGCGCTGTCTCTTCAAAACGAGGACCCATCACCACAGGATGGTTGAGAAGAAGTAGCGAGAGAGCAGAGAACGAGGCGAATGGAACATAATGGAACACGAGGAGCGTGGCCAGCAGCGGCAGCAACGACAGCCGCACGTGGCCCAGATATCTCCGGCGCTGCGACCTCTTCGATGCGTGGGCGCTCGGACCTGGGCCAGTTTTTCGCCATGGGCAGCCTGGGCAGTTTCTTTGACGGCCCCGAGGCCCGAATCCCCGCCTCTGGAGGCCAAGACGGGTGGCGACAGGCCGGGCGCCTCGAGTACTGCTCGAGGCGGATGTCTGGGGAGGTGGGGCCACGAGGCAGCCAATGGGTTCTGTCAGCCAGACCTGGGATGAGGGTAGCTCGTTCCAGAGCGTTCTGCGGCCCTCTCAGAGCGTTCAAGAGCGCTCTGGGAACGGCCGCGGGGCCCCCGATACGTCTTTCAGACCCGTTGGCTTTCAGAAACCACCGATTTACCCTCATCCGAATTGTCCTTGGTTTCGTCTTGCACGAGGCATGCCGAAGAAACGCGCTGACAATGATTGGATCTTGTCGACGCCGATCTTGGTCATGATGGTCCATGCCGGCCGTCGCCGATTCGCGAGGATGATTCACGGATCGACGGTGACCAAGATGGACGGTGACCAAGATATGTACCAACGTTTCCGTGTTCAGTTTTGGTCATGGTCCTCGGTTATTTGTTCTTGCGCAGGCCGTTTGGCGAGCTCAGCACCCGTGCCTCGTTCTCTTTTCCTACACCGATGGGTGCTGGCGTTCCCTGGGCGACTCTCCGCGGGCACGGCCGCACAGGCGTACGAGGCGAAGAGGCGGCTCGGGGAGAAGTTCCCCGAGCTTGCGCCAGATGGGGCGGTGGAGATCAGGACCTTGACACGACCCACGTCGCGAGGAGGGGTAGGGGGAGGGGGAGGAGGAGGAGGAGGAGGAGGAGGAGGAGGAAGAGGAGAAGGAGGAGGAGGAGGAAGAGAAGGAGGAGGCGGAGGCGGAGGCGGAGGATGAGGAGAAAGAGGAGGAGGAGGAGAAGGAGGAGGAGTGGAAAGTTGGAGGGGAAAGTAGGAGCAGGAGAGTAAGGGAAGGAAGAGGACCATAATGAAACGGGAGGAGGAGGAGGAGGAGGAGGAGGAGGAGGAGGAGGAGGAAAAGGAGGAGAAGGAAGAGGAGGAGGAGCAGCAGCAGCAGCAGCAGCAGGAGGAGGTCCTCGAGCCGTTGGCCACGTCGTCGAGCGCGCATGCTGATCATGCCAGAAATCGGAGCCAGTTATGCAACACGTTATAGGAAAGGGGGGTGTCATTTGCCTCCTTCTTCCCTTCTCCCCCTCTTTCTCCTCCTCCTCCTCCTCCTCCTCCTACTCCTCCTCCTCCTCTTATGTTCGCCCTCCTCCTCCTGCTCCTCCTCCTCCTCCTCTTCCGTTCGTCCGAAAGGCTAAGCGGCATCTTGCCTCGGTTGCTCCGTCGTCGTCCTCCATTTCGCCAGCCCATTTCGCCAGTCCATTGGAGGAGGAGGAGGAGGAGGAGGAGGAGGAGGAGGAAAAATGGAAGGAGAAAGGAGAGGAGCTGGACCGGGATGAGGGAGAGGAGGGGGACGAGGAGGAGGAGGAGGAGGAAAAGATGGAGGGGGAGAAGGTAGAGGAGGAGGAGGAGGAGGAGGAGGAGAAGGAGCAGGAGGAGGAGGAAAGGGAGGAGGAGGAGAATGAAGAGGGATGATGATGCTGCTGATGATGATGATGATGAGGATGATGACGATGATGCTGATGATGATGAGGATGAGGATGAGGATGATAATGAGGATGATGATGCTGATGATGATGATGATGTTGATGTTGATGCTGATGCTGATGCTGATGCTGCTGCTGCTGCTGCTGATGATGATGATGATGATGATGATGATGATGATACTGATAATGATGATGATGATGATGATGATGATGATGATGATGATGATGATGATGATGATGATGATGATGATGATGATGATGATGATGATGATGATGATGATGATGATGATGATGATGATGATGATGATGGTGGTGATGATGATGATGATGATGATGATGATGATGAGGAGGAGGAGGAGGAGGAGGCGGAGGAGGAGGAGGAGGAGGAGGACTGAGGAGAAGTGAGAGAGGAGAAGAAGGAAGGAAGGAAGGAAGGAAGGAAGGAAGGAAGGAAGGAAGGAAGGAAGGAAGGAAGGAGGGAGGAGGAGGAGGAGGAGGAGGTGGAGAAGGAGAAGGAGGAGGAGGAGGAGGAGCCCCCCGAAGTCGTCCCAGGAATTCGACGACGCGATTTGTTTGCCCGAGTAGCTTCCGAACCTCCCAACCATCCTTCCCTTGGGATCAGGCAGTTCCGTCCAGGATCGCTCTTCGATGGCCCCACTCTGGAGCCGTTTTGCTCTGTACCTGTTGGCGTGCGCCATCGATCACGTCTGTTTCGCGGTTCATCCCGTTCACCTCAACCCTACCCTTTGTTCTTGCCGCTTCTGCTCGGAGAACGCAGCTCGACCTAGTAAGGACGCTGGGTATTGTGCAGCATGGTTCTTGGTGTTTGCGACTCGGGCGCACCCAGTGCCGCTGTGAGTGCACCCAAGTGTGTAGGTGAATGTCCAAGGCAATGTACAAGTTCATCTGGCGAGATTCCGTATCCAAGGTGATCATCGAGTCAATGAGGGAGGCTCGATGGATGGCCGCGGTGCGATGATATCAATCGCGCACCCTCGCTAAGGGCCCTGGCGCCCGATTCGCACACTAGGCGTGAATTTCAAACTTGACGCTCTTGTTAGGAATTGGATCGCCGTTGAATGGCAAAGCGGAATGTAGGTCTACCTCACGGCGATGCCTCTTCACCATTGCGATGATTTCACGTCGCTGCTTCGGGGAGACTGGTGCATGATATACTGTCAGCGCGCGCCTGTGGGGAGGACAGTCGCCGAAAGGGCCAAACGGGACCGTTATCGGTGTGTGCGCATCCTGCTGGCATTCGGCATACTCGAATATGTGGGCGACACCTTCTCTTCACACTCAGGACCGGAATCAAGATACATCACCGCTAACATAGGTTATGGTAATGGATGGAAGCGAATTCTGAAAACAAGTGATTGAAAAGCGATGCTTTGTTCAAGCGGGAAACGAGTGTATGAAATTTCGCCGCCTAGGCAAAACAAGACAAACATTATCTAGCAACCGCAAAATCCGGTTTACTAGATTCATCTAGATTCAAAAACTGATGTTCTAAATCCGGGGGCCGTTCTTTCTGAATCCCAGATCTCATTAGTACCGTGACCTGAGTGGCTCGATCAATATTGATGAGACCAGCAGTTGGACCGCTTCGAAGTACTGGACAAGTGGCCAGGTACATCCTGGCCACGAAGATCGCCCACTGCCGGGCGCCACAGCTCAGACGGGAACAGCTAGAAACGCCCGAAGCAAGAACGCATCGCTGACCAGCACTGGTGATTGAATCTCCACGGCGCAAGTAGGAACTTTTCCGCGTAAGTTTGATTCATTGGTTGACGCCGCACCGCCGACCCCTTGGGGTGGCAGTAAGAGTGAAAAACGGAGTTTGTGGAACGAGTTCTGAGGAATTTTGGGGTTTTAACTTCTTGGGATTTCGTCGGGGGCGGTTGGCGGATCGCCGCTCTGCTCTTGGGCTTCTCTGGGCTCTCCTGGCAGCACTTTTGAGGCCTCTTGGGAGCCGTTTTGAGGCCTCTAGGAGTCTGTTTTGGGCCTCTCGCGGGCCTCGTGGGAGCCTCTTGGGGGACTATTGGCGCCTCCTCAGGTTTTTTCGGGGCCGAGTGCTCGAAATGTTCATTCGGGTTCCCCTTCTGCCTGGGCCTCCTCTTGGGGCCGTCCTGGAGCCCCCCTGGGTCGTTTTGGAAGCTTATGGGGCCGTCTTGGGGCCCTCTTGGGCTGTCTTGGAGCCCTCTTGGGGGCCTCTTGGGCTATCTTGGGTCGATCTTAAAGGCTTCTTGGGCCGTTGTGGTCCTCTTGAAAGCCCAAGAGGCGAATGCGGTAAAAATATACGTTCTCCTTGGGAATAGGACGATTTTTGCTTCTGGAGGGCCTCTTGGGACGCCTCTTGGTGGCTTCTTGGGGCGTCTTGGGGGCCTCTGGGACCGTCTGGAGGCCATCTTGGGCGTCTTGGAGCGATCTTTCGGCGACTCGTAGCCCTCTTGGACCGTCTGGGGGGCCTTTTGAGGCCCTCTTGGTCCGTTTTGGGGCCCCCTGAGGCTCCAAGGGTGCGGCCGACACCTTTGCCCCCCACCCCCCCCACCCCTCCAAATCGGCCGGACCGGGCTCCCGGGGGAGGGGTTTGGGGAGGGGGAAGCATCTCACACGCCGTGACCCCAAGGGGTCGGCGGATTTGTGGAAGACGGCAGGCTAGCACCGCGTCGACGCGTCGGCGACAGCTGCTCGGGCGTTCAAGGCTGAAGAAAGCCACCGGCGGCCCGCTCCGTGCCGGTGTCGAAGACATGCCGCTGTCGCTGCGTCGCAGGCCAGCGCCCACGTGGTCGCGACAGGAACGGGCAGTCTGGGGGCGACGACGCTGGTATGGGGCCGGCGTTGATTCACCGCCCGCCAAACCACCCCAACCCAACCCGAAGGTCCCGATTTGCCTTCCAACCTGATGTTCAGGGGGTCGGGGGACATTGAAAAAACACGTGTGGAGCCCGTACTCCCCCCAACCCGAAATTCGGGTCTTCGGGTTAGGTTGGGGTGGCTTGGTAGGTAGTCATTGATCTGCTGCTGCCGTTTATGCCTTGGCTGGTGGCGATGTTCGGCCTTGCGTATCGACCGATCTAGTCCCATGCAGTGTGCTGTGCCTTCTCGATGTCTGGCAGGGTTCGAGCGAGAGGCCCAGCTGCTTCTCGGCGCGCTCTGGTCGCTTGTCGCAGCGGAAGCGTCCCCCTGACAAGTTTTGTCGTCCTCCTCTTCCTCGTCTTGCTCCTCATCGTTCTGCTCTGGCTGTTTCGTCACATCTAGCGTGTCCGCTAGGATCATTTCGACGACAGGCGACCAGCGATTGGAGATTTCTCTGTCAGAAATTGGCGGCAAGGCTAGATCCACCCTCTTCTGTTTGGAGCATGCATTACGTTGTAGGAGCATGAGCAGGTTCTGATGCATCATCCTCAACTCCAAGTCCAGCGTCGGCAGCTCAATCTCTTCAAACAAGCAACAGCATATTGATCAAGAAATGGGGTGCAACGCGCACAACACCTAATACGGTGGGGGCACCGGTTAAGGAATGTGCTGGGGAGACTTCAGACCCTGGAGGGTTCCTTAGCTGATGAGGGCGGTGGCGATACCCCTGGCGGGTACACAGTTGAAGTTCCGCTGGCTTCCAGACCCCGGATTCCTTGACCAATGCTTCCTTATTCAATGTCTCCGCCATACTTGAGCGACTGACTGTCTGTGCAGAGGTTACTGCGCAAATTTGATTCGACTGTGACAGTGCTCGGAATGTGTGTTTGCTGCTGTCACGCTTGCGTTGTGTGCGTGCGCATGCTGCAGAGTGCCACCCGTTCTTGCGCGGTGCTGTGGAGCGTACCGAAACGCGTACTAGAGACCCAAACTGTCAGCAGCCATTGGTCTTATTCGGTGAGTTCGCCATGTTGAGCTGTCTCCGTTGCCTCAAGGGGGTGCTTGTTCCGAAAATACAGAAGGGCGCAATATTCGTCACCCAATCGGGGGTTGGTTCCCAGCCGATTGAAAATTGAACTATTCAATTTTCAATCTCGATATTTGAGTTCAGATCCCCGGAATTGAATTTCCGCAGTCGCCAATTCAATCATGGAGTGGGAAGCCCCAGAATTGAAATACTGGCATTAGTAGAATATCGACAAAGTACAATGTTGATACTGATAAGGTGCAACATTGAAATATTGCATTATTGGTTTGTTTGGTGTCAAGTGCGCCAGGATAGAGGAGGGAGGTTCTCCTGATTCTCCCACGTGGCAGATGAGGAGAAGGAGGACGAGGACGAGGGTGAGGGGGAGGAGGGAGAGAAGGAAGGAGGACGCTACAGGTGCAGTCTTTTGCCTCCTAGCCTCCCTGGGAACAGGAGAGGGAGGAGATGGAGGAGGCCAGACCAGGATTGGGAGGTTCTCGATGCTCGTGTGGGTCAGGTTGTCCGGATGGACTGGGGTTTGCACCCATCGCTCCCCAGGCCTCCCGATTTCCCGGCCCAGATCGTGCCCCTTCCTCGATCCGCGCTGCACGGAGGTTCGACCTCCATTCTGCAAGCCTCATTCCTGGAAGTCGTTTCCTGCATTCTGGAGCCTCCTGGCGGTGGAGATACCCTGGTTACTCAAGGCGGCGGGGCCGGTGCGTCCTGAGAGAAGTGTCCCTGCCGAGGGCCTCTTCACCCGGGAGCTCGACGTCGCGCTGGCGTCCAAGGAGGTTACGTTCTGTCTCCTCTCTCTCACACTATTTGTGTTCCTCTAGTTTGTCTCTCCTTCTATAACCCACTCTGCTTCGCCGCACCGCTCGATGAGTCCACGAGCTCACTGCCGAGACGGAGAACTATCCTCTTGGCAATTGAATCGAAAGGCTTACGCCGTTCCGCCGGCCCCCGAAAGAGACACGGGGTGAGGTCCGCACGCGTCCCCAGAGGAGGGCAAAGCGTTAGAGGACGACGAAGTGTGATGTGATTCCCACGAGGGGCAGGAAGGCAAGGTGGAGGAGGAGAGCTGGCAGGATGTTGGGAGGTTCGTGAGACCATATCTTCAGTGTTAGGGGCCTCTTGTTGATATCTTGAGCCTTCCTCGAGGGCAGCAAAAGAAGCAGGGTGGCATGGAGGCGAAAGAGGAAGGGGGGAATCGCCGTGGTAGGAGTAATCATGATAAGAGGCGCCCACGGCGGGAGTCACGTCGGACCTCGCGGGGGGGAGCAGCACGCGAGTCTCGCAATCAGTGAGTGTCGGGGGGTATGGCTTAGACACGTGCGTGACTCAACATTTGGGCCCCTCGTGGGTGGGGTCTTGCCTCTGAGGCTCCCTTGGGGCCTCTTGAGGCCATCTTAGCGCTCCTTCGGGGGTCTCGGGGTCGCGTCGGATAGTCTTGAGACTTTGTGGGAAGTCTTCGGACTGTTGGTCTTGGGGACGTGTGGGGAGTCTTTGGACCGTCTTGGAGACACTTTGCGGCTGCCCTGGAGGACAGCAGGGAGCCTTTGGGGCCATCTTGGGGAGCAGCTGGGGCCGCCTAGGGGGCTTCTGTGGGTTTTCTTCACCCTCACAGAGGCGCCTAGAAGCGAGCGGCAATTTGCGGGTGAGCACGCAGTATCCCCTATTGGGAATTCGGTCTCGGTCTCGCCTTGGTGTCGTGCGCGCATGCGGGCGAGGCAATGCTCAGCGACGGCGACGGCGTGCAGGCCAAGCGACGGGCCACGGCGAACAAGTTTCTTCTCCAGTGGCGCGGTTCCTCACCGTGCTGGTTCCGTGGGTTGTCCTGTGGGTTGTTGTCCCGTGGGTGGACCCGCGGGATGTCCCATGGGTTGTTTTGTGGCTTGTCCCGCGGTTGTCCCGCGGGAGATGTACATCGACATTAAAGTCCAATGTTGAATCGACGTGCAGATCGACCTGCACATTGAATTGCATACCTACCTGCAAATCAAACTGCACATCGAATTTCAAGTCTAAGAGTACTCGAAATGCACATCAAAGTTCAAACCAATCTGCATTCGACATGCACATCGTAATTCCAAACACACTGCAAATCAGAACGCAAATCCAACTGCAATCGAAATGCGAAATGAGATGAGTATCGAAACGCCATGCGAAGTGCGACGCGAAATGCAAGTCGGCATGCGTAACGGACTTGACATCAGCATGCGAATCGAAACGCAAATCAATTTGCAATCGAAGTGCACATCGACATGCAGATGTAAATGCCAGTCGGCATGCAAGCTTTTCTCCCCAACACACACACGCACACACACACACACACACACACACACACACACACACACACACACGCACACGCACACGCACACGCACACGCACACGCACACGCACACGCACACACACACACACACACACACACACACACACACACACACACGCACACACACACACACACACGCACACGCACACGCACACGCACACGCACACGCACACACACACACACACGCACGCACGCACATACACACACACACACTCGCACTCTACCCCTTCTCCCCCAAGAACGTCTTTTTACCCGAAGGTTGGTCTATGATTTCAGGCGATATAGCAACACACGTTGAACAACATCGGGTCTTTATGGTTCTGGAGATCGTGGGCTCCCTCTGGGGACCTCGTTCGGCTTTCTCGGGCCTGCTGGAGTCATCCTGGAGCCGTCCTGGAGGGCATCCTGGAGGCATCCTCGAGGCATCCAGGAGTTGACTTGGAGGCTACATCCCTCCTCGAAATCAAACGCAAGTTTTTCCCACAATGTGGCGGTGCCCCTAGACCCCCAATTCCAATGTTCACGCCGAAACTGGCGACTGGACTCTGTTTTGTCCCCGCGGGCCGCGTTGCGCGCGCCCATCGGCATTGAAATGGGGCTGCGAGGGGGTTGGATAAAAACTCGCGTTTGGTTCCGAGGATGGTTGTCGGAGGGCACAGAAGGTGCGCTGGGGAGCCCATCACGACCGATCCCCTGTGTTGCTCTCTGCACAGGATGCGCGCATGCGGGCGCGGGCGGAAACGTCGGCCAGTTACCCATCCTCCCTAGGACGCGGGCGTTGTCGTTTCGAGCGAGCGCGCTGGTTTCGGTCGACCAGATCTGGAGCCCCCGGAGGGGCCAGAAGCACTCGCCCCCCCCGCCGAGCTCGCTGCCCGACGTCAAGACGTCTGTTTTTCGGAGAAGCCTGGATGCGTTTCTGGAGATTCTCGTCGCCACGGCTGGGGGCGGCTCGGAGAACTGGTGGACCCTGGGAGGGGTCCAGGGGGTCGGCTTTGAGCGGACGTTGGTCGGGGTCACCGAATCGGGGACTCAACGCCACCTCTCACGAGGACGGGGCATGTCGGCGGCGCACTGAAGGGTGTTGCGCGAAGGGGGCGGCCTTCTGAGATGGCTTCGGGAGGGCGCTCTTCACAGGGCTCAACAAGGTCTTCTTGTAAGAGCTCGGAGGGATTAAGACGGCTTCGCAGAAGCGTGTGGGCTTCAATCAGGCCCCCTGCCCTCATGGAAGGTCCCCCGCCCTCGCACCACGTGCCCGCCGCCGAGCGGGGGCGGCCGAGCCAAGAGCTGGGCGCCGGCCCGCACGAGGCAACCAGCCCCGAAGTGGGCCCCCGGCCGCGGGCAGACTGGTTTCGGTGGGGCTCCCTATTGGGCCACGAAGCGCTGCACTGGGTGGATGAAAATGCCAAATTTGATGTGGGGGACGCATGTGGGCGGTCCCACTGGGGGCTTCGGTGGAGCTATGGGGCCACGAAACGCTGTACTGGGGGGGCGAAAATGCCAAGTTGGGTGTGGGGGACGCATGCGGGCGGTCCCACTGGGGGCTTCGGTGGAGCTGTGGGGCCACGACGCGCTGTAATGGGTGGGTGAAAATGCCAAATTGGGTGTGGGGGACGCATGCGGGCGGTCCCACTGGGGGCTTCGGTGAAGCTCCCTATGGGGCCACGAAACGCTGTACTGGGTGGGTGAAAATGCCACAACACGACAGGATGGTTTGGAAAAAGCAAGGGCCCAACACCACAGGATGGTTGGGAACGAGGACCCAACACCACATGTTGGTTGAGAACAATACAAAGAGCTTGCGGGCCTCACGAACATGACTCAAGACTTTGCCTCACATTGTACGCTGCAGTGTTTATTGACAGGGATGGTGGGGAGGCCGCATCGGGTTGGCCGCGAATGCTCCACATGTGGAGGCAGAGTGCGTGCTGTATGGTTTTTTGACAGAGATGGTGGGGGAGGTGAGCATGGCGTCCTCATGGTTCCTGGTTGGCTGACGGTCGCCTGGGAGAGGGGGTGTATTTGAATAGGGAACAATGACAACCCCCTCCCCCGAGCAGGTGAAGAAGGGATGTTGACAGAGAGAAGACAGAATTCGTTAAGCCACCTACGCCCAGAGGGCTTGGGATATTCTAGTTTCCGCAAGGGTTTCAAGTTCGATTTTCCCAAACACCTATCAAATCAGCCAGGCGCAGGACCCAACCATATGCAGTCGTTGTATGCACCGCATTCGGTGGGGCTCCCTATGGGGCTACCAAACGTGTGGTGTGCCAAAATGGGTGCGGTGGCCGCATGCGAACGCTGGCATTTGTGCCTTCGGTGGGGTCCCCTATGGAGCCATGGAACGTGGGAGGGGTGAGCCAAAGTGTGCGCGGTGGCCCCATGCGAAAACCGGCCTTCGGGCCTTCGGTGGGGCTCCCTGTGGGGCCACGAACCGTGTGAGGGGTGTGCCAAAATGGGTGCGGTGGCCGCACGCGAACGCTGGCATTCGGGCCTTCGGTGGGGCTCCCTATGGAGCCACGAAGCGTGTGAGGGGTGTGCCAAACTGGGTGCGGCGGTCGCATGCGATCGCTGGCATTAGGGCCTTCGGTGGGGCCCACTATGGAGCCATGAATCGTCAGGGGTTTTCCAGAATGGGTGCGGTGGTCGCATGCGAACGCTGGCATTTGGGCCTTCGGTGGGGCCCCCCTATGGAGCCACGGAGCGTGTGAGGGGTGTGCCAAAATGGGTGCGGTGGCCGCATGCGAACGCTGGCATTTGGGCCTTTGGTGGGGCTCCCTGTGGAGCCACGGAACGAGTGAGGGGTGTGCCAAATGGGTGCGGTGGCCGCATGCGAACGCTGGCATTTGGGCCTTCGAAGGGGCTCCCTGTGGAGCCACGGAACGTGTGAGCGGTGCCAGAATGGGTGCGGTGGTCGCATGCGAACGCTGGCATTTGGGCCTTCGGTGGGGCTCCCCTATGGAGCCACGGAGCGTGTAAAGGGTATGCCAAAATGAGTGCGGTGGCTGGCCGCATGTGAACGCTGGCATTTGGGCCTTCGGTGGGGCCCCCGCCTCGAAACGTGTGAGGGGTGTGCCAAAATGGGTGCGGTGGCCGCATGCGAACGCTGGCATTGGGGCCTTCGGTGGAGTTCCTTATGGAGCCACGAAGCGAACGAGGGGTGTGCCATCAAGGGCGCGGTGACCGCACGCGAACGCTGGCATTTGGGCCTTCGGTGGGGCTCCCTGTGGAGCCACGGAACGTGTATTTGGTCCTTCGGTGGGGCTCATTGTGGAGCCACGAAGCGTGTGAGGGGTGTGCCAAACTGGGTGCGGTGGCCGCATGCGAGCGCTGGCATTTGGGCCTTCGGTGGGTCTCCATATCGAGCCACGAAGCGTGTGAGGGGTGTACCAAAATGGGTGCGGTGGCCGCATGCGAACGCTGGCATTTGGGCCTTCGGTGGAGCTCCCTGTGGAGCCACGA